TTGAATGCAATTAAAACTTACAAGCAAGGACTTTGTGTCGCTAAACACGTATATAGTCTCTATTTTTTTAACCCCCGACGCAAAAAGATGGGTGTTATAAGATTAACTTGCGTATCTGTGTTTGTCTGTGTCATCGTAACGCCCAACGGTCGAACCGATATTAATTTAGTTTTTCTATTTGAAAGGTGCCTTGATTGAGAGTCTTCTTAGCTATAAATCAAGAAAATCCGTTCATAGCCCAGTCGAATTAGGATTTGACATTGCAAAATTTTTATTAGATTTTACCCTCTTCTTTTCTCAGGTATAAATCGAAAAATATCAATCCTACGAAAAAAATTATAAAGACCAAAATTGTAGAAAATTTAATTTCAAACAACTTTTGTAACTATTTTTCGTGTAAAATTATATAGTGAAAATAAACGAGTTATTCCATAAACAAAAATCAACCCTTAAATTCGAGATGGCGGATGACGCAACGGGTCTTTTACCCCGAAAATCTAAATTTAGACTTCCAGTGAGTATATTGGTAATGACTAATGATAAAACTGGTTAGAAAACAATTAAAAAGAAAAATATACTTGAAATACCTATTAAAATTAAAAGGTAATAAAACTTTACGAAAAATTTAAATTTTGATGACAATAAATAATTAAGGCATAATTATTATGAATGATAGAGTTTAAAAAAATTAAAAGCTTGAAAAGTGTTTTAGTTACAGCCGTTATTTTTGGTTACACAGTTAATAAAAATATAAAAAAGGGAATTTTTCCAAGAATTTTTCATTATTATATCTCTCGGGTCATCCCGAGGTGACTTGGTAAATGAAGACGTGACACTTGTAATTGCAAGCGTCCTTTGAAAATGTAAAACCGTTTTACTGCTTTTACAGTAAAAGTATTTTTGTACTAAAATATACTAAACCAAACATATTTTTTTTATCTTTAATGTTGCCTTATACATATATGTATGAACTATTTCGTTGCTTAGTTTATTCTTTCAAATTAAATTGTTTAAATATGTTGGTACATTAACACACAGCAACATCTAATTCCATGGTTAGCTACGAGCCTTGTGTGATGGATACTAGATAGTTCAGACACTACACATATATAACTTTAAATACATACATATTATAAAAGACCTGACTAAAGCACAAACATTCGTGCTCATCACACAAATGAATGCCCCCAGCGGGAATCGAATCCGCGACCGCTGGCATAGCAAGGAAGGTCACTACAAACTGAGCCAAACGTGGCGTCAATTAAAATAAAACCATGATTTTATTTTAATTTAATAAAATAATTTATAGATAGCATTTTGACTTAGGTCCAAGAGGATCTACCAAGATGTATTCATTTAGTAGAGAGCTATAAGTCTAAATAAAGCTGTTCCTAAGAACGTTTATACTATAGTGATATCAGAGTTTAATTTCTTATATAATCCTCTTGGGGACTAAAATGCTTTGATATATCCAGGTATCTAAAAAATATTTCTATTTCCTTAGTATATGTATGTAAAACAATTTTAGAATGGCAGCTAGCATATAATAAAGAGCTGAATATTAAGTAACCTTTAAGAGTTGCAAAGAAGTCTCTACTTTGGTAAGTTTTAAGCGCTACTAATTTTTACTTTTTATTTTGCTTCAAGAATAATGAAATTGGCTTGAACAAGAATTGAGTTTATAAAGTTCATAAAAATCTTAAAAGAAAGAATAAAAAGCGCCAATCAAAATTTCCATTCAAAGTACAATAAGACATGATAAAAGTTGGTTACATTTGTTAAAATACAAAACATCTGTCATATAATGAAATAATATTTTTTGCGACCAAACAAAAAGTACTTATCTTAATACATTATCGCAGAACAAACACAATGTTTGTAACAATTGAGTTAGAGATGTATATCTATAACATCATAAAAGGAACTCTACTAAAATTCTGATTGACTCTATCATTGTACACATGATATTAAAAACTGAATTAATTCAATGTGAATAATTAGACGCTTGTAATAATATACTAGCTTTTGCTCACTGCTATGCTCACATTATTTAATTTCTTCGTCTTTGAGATATTAGATAGCTCTATCTTCCTTAATAAATCGGTTATAATATGCAAGAAAATAAGTTTTCTAATACATATCTAGTTCCTGACATTATCACGCTCAAAAAAATCGGCTTTAGTTTTGGCTTTATTCTTCGGTTTTTGGCTTCGGCTTTATAAGAATAGAAATGATAGAGCATTGTAATTAGTAAGAATTTTATATTATTGTGTATTTTTAAAATTTTGTTAATTTGCATTTGTTAAATTAAAAACAGAAAAAATAAACTCTACATTTTTATAGTTACCTAAGGACTTATTAGATATTAATGCTTAGTAAAACAAAGTAACGTGACACATTTTGATTTAACATGTGACGAAGGACAGTTTGTTATTTGATTATGAAAGGTATGCGGGTTAATTTCCAAGGCCCGAAGTTAGTCTCACGAGGATCACTCTAATGACTCGGCTTGACACATGAATAGCAGGATTATTAGACGATTTTCACTCCTTTACTGACTTAGTCCTTACAAATTATTGAAAGATAGTAGATATAAGATATAGATAGTAGTACATTGAAGATAATAGATATAAAATAACTAACCTATCTAGAGATAAACTAAAGGATTTAAGTGTATTGTCTCGGACTCTACCATCAGGTGGAAAAAATTACCTCAGTTTTAAAAAAAAGTTACCAGAAGAAATTCAGTAGTATGGAATGGATAGACTATATTTTGTACATAGGTATGATGCCTTTGCTTGAGAAATGATTGATGTCCCATACAAAATTCCCCTCCCCCCCTTTACTCCCTTAAGAGACGATTTTGGGAGTAAAAATAGCAATTTTTATCTAAATCGGTTCAGCTATTTAATCGTGAAACAGTCAAACAACCAAAAAAGCAAACATATTTATTTTATTGGAACGGAATACCGGCTGTGAATTTAAGTTCAAGGAATGCTTATTAAAAATAATGAGACACGTGTTATCATGACAAATTACGAACATCTCGCCTACGAATTCGCGGTTAACACCTAGCTGTCATATGTTAATTAATTATTATTAACTAATTAATGCTTATATAATATTCAAAAATTATACATAATTATGAAATATAAAGAGGAAGTGACTTGCTTAAGTATATTTTACTTCATTTTCAACACAATAGTACAAAGTTGTTGAGAAATCCAGTATTCATAAATGCTAAGCACTATTTGCTTCTAACTTGAACCAAAATATAAATACGATGCTGTTTGCTGGTTGTAAAATCGATGTAAACCTTTTGATGTGACTTCAGAGACTCTTGAGAGTACAATGTAATATCCACATATCGGTATATAATACCCCTAATGGCTGATCGACGACAGGCATGCGGTTTTATGGCTCTACGACAAAGACAACTGCAAACCAAAGGAGAGTTGAATAAATTTTGATATTTTACGGCATCTTTATTTTGATCTATTGAGAAAAATAGTTGAAAATAAATTAACTTTTGTTGAGTATACCAGAAATTTGAAGTCATTATAATGATCAATACTTTTTGTATTGCTTACTAGTTACTTACCTTGGCTTCGTTTGCGTTTGTGGGTACGTCCCTAGAAGCAATTTTTATTACTAATAGCAGCTATTTTTTACCCCAGATCTGTATGTAATATGTACTAAATGTCATTCAAATCCATCCAGACGTTTTAGCGGTTTGGAGTGACAAACATACAAACACACATATTTTCACATTAATACTATTAGTACGATTTACTTTATCAATTAGAAAACAAAGTATATTAAAGTAAGCAAAAAATCATTAAAATATAATATTAAAACATAAAAATTCTAAAATAATCCATTCTTCAAGAGATAATTCACAAGCCATTACGCCCGTCTAGTTATCGTGACTTATACGGCACCTGGGAGAAAGGGTCACTGTGATAGAGTCACAGACAGCCAAGGGCTTAACATAAGATATATGAGGGATAAATGCAGGAAATTATTTGCTCGACTTTATAATCGTAAATTTATAGCACGTTTTGATATTCATATATTACATTGTACCTACTAATAAAAATATTTTTTTCTTGCTTTACATTCTAAGTTTGAATCACATATAAAAATAGTTAACTATGAAGAGATTGTAATACAATCGATTTTAAGTTTTGTTTTAAAAATTGATGAAAGTTAGTTTAAAAGGGGTTTTTAAAACTTCTTATTTCACGAAGATTGATTATTTTTGCACAATTCCCTAAGGCGTACTGAGCTAAATTGTGGCGTCCGTCTGCGGGTCATCCCATGAGATTTGATCATAAATTATGACCCAAGTTAACGGACTTATTGTTTCATGGAGTTGACAAGTATATTTTGGGCCTTAACCGACTTCAAAAAAGGAGAACCCTTTTGGGAACCCTTCAATGGCTACCATAAAAACCATTGTATAGGCTGTCTCGGTTCATTTTGACACGTCTAATATTATATGTATACCTACTTACATTTGTGTTTGAGATTATTATTGTTGATAAATTATAGTACATACCCTACATTGAATTCGTTGAGTCCTTCATGGGATATTAGTAAAATTTTGTAATAGTGTAGCTAATAAATATTTTTTTTATTTCAAGGGTTATAGTTTTTAATTTCAGGATAAGATTTTAAATGAACAAATGTTATTCCGTAAATTGCTAACATTTTTCGAGTAGAATCTTAATATAACTTGAACATCTAAATTGTAAACGTTTTTATATTGTTAATATTTATATAGTACATTGTAATCTATCAATTCTTATCGATTATGGCCTCCTTTTAAAACAAAGCACAACTTGTCATTATAGCATTTGATAGAAGAGCGCTATAAAATAATATAACAAAACATTTTTTGAAGATTATTCTCATTATTTACTATAGAATATAAATTATTTTTAATTTCATGTTATATAAAAAGGGTGTAATAATATAAAAATTATTCTATTGTTTAGAAGAGGCGGCTCATACGGTCGCCGGGAACGATTCAGCGCCGGAAAGTTCAGATAAAGATACAAAGCTGCCGCACAACGAGGCAAACATGATAGTTGGTGAGTCATTAGTGTATATAATATTAAAATATTAAATAAGTTATTAAATTATTCTGTTATGGTATGCTAGTTCAATGACCGGTTAAGGCTTTTTTTTATTTCTTTATTACTGCTATAAGATATCACTGCGACCAAAATCTATTGTGGTCTACTGCAGGATTTTATCTAGAGTCTATATGAATTATAGTCTAACATATATATATATATATATATATATATATATATATATATATATATATATATATATATATATATATAAATATTTATTATATGAATTTTATTCTAAGCTTGTACATAAGAGGTCATAAGACTTGGCGTTTCATCCACTTCCATACATCTTCTGCAAGCTTGTGTGGAACTTTTAGGTTGAACATATTGTGTTTATTTAAACAGCTGTGTCCTGTTAGGGCTCTTACCAATTACAGTAACTTTTGTTTATATAAGATGGTAATCTACATAGAGCGGTGGTAATAAATGGCTTAGCTGGCCTAAAAATGCTAAATAATGATATTATTCATTTATTAAGATGGCCGATCGATATCGGTAATAGAAATTTATAAAGTTTTCCAACCACTATGCTTGATTTATCTTTTAACATATCCAAAAAAATTTTATAGATAAGATGTGTCTAAGCCACTAGGTTTTTTTTGTTAAGTCATGTCTTCCTTCAGCTTAGCAGCAGACTGCATAATATATGATAATCATTTGGTTTATTCCACATTAACAATGTTAGATAATTCTGTTTATTGTTGAAAATTTTCGTCTAAAATATTTGAATATATCACCAACAATTTAACAGTCCATTAAACTCTGGATGAAATGGGAGGTATTTATGCAAATTGCGGAGTAGAAACGAGTTGGAATCTTAACAGTCGGATTGGGAAATGTAGCTAACTTGAAGAATTAATGCTTCAAAGGATCTGCCTACTTTTAAAACTTTCATCTTTTGTATTAATACTTAATTCTTTTTAATATTATAAAAGTGGAAAATTGTTTGTTGGTTTCTCTAATTTAAATGCAGAACAACAGGTTGATATATAATTTTCTTTGGATTTTATTTACGTCCAAAAATTACCAATATTACCTTCTAATATCCACTTAGGATATTACTTATATTAATTATTAATATTGGTAATCTTTTGTAAGTGATTTATATAGAATATTAGCATACAGCTAGAGTTCACTATATATAGGTATATATATTGAAAAAAATATTATAGTACGTATAATTAAAATGTACCTCACCAGTTTTAAGTATCTAGTTTTCTGTTCATAGTATTTCGACTGCTTATACTTTTTGTTTTACCTTATACTCTATATAAAATTAACTAAAAACTTATTTATTAAGGTCAAATGAAAAAAATATACATAAACAATAAATAGCACATAATACATATGTATATCTCATTCATATTTTAATCATCGTATTGAGAATTCAGCTTTAATTTAAAGTCGCTAGCTGCCTTGATGAGTAATTTTACTTCTACGATTCTACAATTTTCATACAAACTTTGCCATTGGCCGTTGAAATGAAATTCTCTCGATCGTGCCTTATAATGTGACTAAAAGGATGGAGCGAAGAAACTTTGCGAATTGAGTTGTTATGAAATACGACTGAAATTTTGCAATATATTTACAATGAATATAATATATTCTACACATTGATATAATAAAAACGACAAAGGCGGTCTAACTTCAAAATAGCTTAAAAGTAATTATTTTAGGACCATCTTGGCCTTGACCATCTAATTAATTCATTAAAAAAAACAATTTACAATTGGCAAAGTTATCGCTCAGCCTCAGACTTTATATACTGGGGCCCGCTAAAAAATGTCAAAGTCAAAAACAATGGCGTAGCATAGACAGCAAAATTTGCTACTATTCTCGATTTTGTTATCAAATTGTTATTTTATTTATGGAATAAGAAGAAAGTATAAATAATAAAAATAATACTATATTCTTTTGCATCTTCATATACATTATTTCTCCATAAGCATTAATTAGTTCTCTTCCCTTTGAAAAAGAGATAGAATAATATTAGGTTATTAAATATTTTTTATAATAAAATCTTTATTGTAATATATAAAATTATATCTTTATTATAATAATATGATAATTCAAAAAATAATTGAATATGGAATAGTCCATATTCAATTATAAAACTAATTAAAATTATAAAAATGTTTAAAGTTAAAAAATATTGTGTCATTAAGGTACTTTGGTGCCATTTTTCAATTTTTTGAATTCATTTTGTAATTTGTGTTTTTGTAATACCTTTGAGACATCTAACACCTCAGTTTTTCCCGTGACCATGGATGCTGTAAAGCATTCGAAACGTCGGGAACCAAAAATCAAAATAAATTCGCGAGAAAAACTGAAAAGATAGTTTTATTTAAATTATATATGTATGTATTTCAAGTTATATATGTGTAGTGTATCAACTATCTGGTATCCATAACACAAGCCTCGTAGCTTACTATGGAACTAGATGGTGGTGTGTGTTAATGTCCCAACATATTTATTTATTATCGAATACGTAACCTATATCGTTGAATACCAATTTTATATTTAAGTTGTAGATGCGGTAAAGAAAAGTTATATGAAAATGCAAATGTTCCTTGAAAAAACGTAACAGCCTATAAACGAATTGACCTGCAAAAGTGTTTTGGACAAACGAGAAAATATTGTCAATTTTTATAATACTAACTTTTTAATAGTGCTTATATTGATTTATGTACGAACCATAATTTAGTTTATCTATATGTTGACGACACATTTGCCTCAGTTTGTAATGAGTACTTGCTGTGCCAGCGGTCACGGGTTCGAGTCCCGCTGGGGGCATTCATTTGTGTGATGAGCACGAATGTTTCTAGTCCAGTCATGGGTGTTTATATTTATAATATGTATGTATTTAAAGTTATAGGTATATATGTAGTGTCTCAACTATCTAGTATCCATAATACAAGCTTACCATGGAACTAGATCGTGCTGTGTTAATGTCCCAACATTTTTATTTATATATTAAAAGTAAATACGTTTGTCTTAAATGGTTTATTTATTTACAGACATAGTTATCCCGTCGCTGCTTATAGCGGCGCTATTCATCGGCAACGCGTTCATCGTACTCATCATATACAAATACAGGAAACGGTGAGATTAATTGACTTATTCTGATGTAATGTAGTTTTCAACACTTTTTTTAAACGTCCCATTGCTGGGACGGGCACGGGCTTCCCTTCAATACGAGGGGGATTAGGCCTTAGTGCACCACGCAACCGGGATTTGAACCCACTTCGCTCGGTTTCCCAAGCAAACGCGGTGCTACTGGCCTACCAATGCCATTCTGATGTAATATTAGTTTTCAATTTTATAGAATTATATATACCGATATTTATTTTATATAAGCAATATTATATATTACACTAGCGACTCCTTATCGCTCCGCTCAGGTTCGTCCCTAATTACGTTTTAACGTTTATTATAGATTTCTCAGAGATGAAATATTTTCCCGCAGTAAAAAGTATCCTATATGTTGACCCGGATAACCAGCTATCATCATACCAAATTTCATCAAAATCCGTCCAGTGGTTTTTCCTTGATGCGGTGACAGACAGACAGACAAAAATTCCAAAAACTATAGATGTATCGATAATAATGTCAATTTCAATAAAATTTTCCAAAAAAATTAAATTCCGAATTTTCAAAAACAGATTCGGCTTATTTACAATTTTATTATATGTGTACATATACAATTATTTGTATTGTGTACATAACAATATGAATAATTATCTATATATATATAAAAAAAAAGTCGTGTTAGTTACACTATTTATAATTCAAGAACGGCTGAAACGATTTAGCTGAAACTTGGTGGGGTAGTAGCTTAGAACCAGGAGACGGACATAGGATACTTTTTAGCCCGTTAGAACGGCTGGACCAATTTTTATAATATTTGAATTTTTGGATTTCTCTCATTCCGGAATAGGTTAATACCTAAGTATTAAAACGTCAGAAAAATTAACGAAAAAAAAATATTTATATGGCTAATAACACTGGCTAATAACTATTTATATCTATTTAAAACGTACCTAGCGACGAACCCGAGCGAAGCGAGGGTGAGCCGCTAGTGTAAAATATTTTATTATTATTAATGTGTAATACAAATCGTCATACGATTTGTATTACACATTAATAATAATAAAATCCTCCGATTTTTACACATTGTAACACATATTCACATAATTACAGTTTCGTTTAGACTAAGAAAAGCATTAACATAAAACGCTCTGAATAAAATATGGAATGTGGGTAATGATTCATTTTCTACATCAGTAGGTCAATTGCTTCTCAGAAATAGAGAAATGTAGAAAAAAGGTTCATCAAGTACGATATTACAAACGGCAGGGTTAATACGAGCTTTACAATTTTATTTTTTACGATCTCTGTATGCTGTTAAATTTTAACCGTAAAAATTGTACTTTAGTATGAACCTAATTTGAGCCTGCAGCTCTGCTTGCATTGTAGATACTTTGATATAAATAAAATATTAATTAGGTAATTTCTGGAGATTAACGACTACAAACAGATAAACCAACAAATATACATATATGTATGTATATATTTTTGATAGCATCAGATAACGTACTTGTAAAAATATAATCCATACTAATATTATAAATATGAAAGTGTTTGTTTGTTCTTATTTGAGGTTAAAACGGAGTGACGGATCGGGGTGATTTTTTGTGTAAAGATAGTTAGAGAGCTGGAGAGTGACATAGGCTACTTTTTACCGAAGGAGATTATCTCATTCCCATGGGAAAACACGTTATAATACAACCCAAAAAAAGATTTGTGATCAGAATTATGTACTTAAAACTTGGTATTAATGTTCTTCAATACAATTAAATAAATATCTGTTTTTGCATTTTTCCAAATTAATCTTATAAGGGGGTAAAATAGGGCATAAAATTTGTACGAAACCTATCATTTTAGAGATTTTT